GGCAGACAGGGGCTACATTTTGTTTTGTTACAGATACAGGATCCCAATCTCAAGAATCGGAAGGGACTCAGGACATCATCCAGACTGAACCACTCCCCCAAACTCATAAACGCATAACAATACACTGCAGTTTAGATGGGAATTTTATGTATAGTAACAGAAATTTAAAATAGGACCTATTCAACATTCCATACTAAGGGGATGTTACAATGTGGAAAGATATGGAAAAAGAGGGGTGTTCTTTTTTTAAAGCAACAGACTTTAATGTAGGTGTGCAGAGCCTGCCAAGATAGAAAGATGAAATATATTAAGATGTGGAGTCTTCTCTACTCAACAACAGAAGATAGTAATGTACTGTACTTTGGTGAAAAACATTGCAAGGAGTTGTTTTGATCATGTAAAAATATGCAACTGTTTCCACACCTGTGCTTGTCTACAACAGATATAATGGTGGTGGCATAATGGTTAGACTAGAGGACCTGGGAGAGCAGGGTTCAAATCCCCACTCAGCCATGAAGCTCACTGGTTGACCATCTCTTGGCCTAACCTACCTCACAGGGTTGTTGTAAGGATGAAATGGGGAGGAGAACCATGGACTTGTGAAGATAAAGGTGGTATATAAAAATCATAAATAAATAAATAAATAAATAAAATAAATACAGCAAAAAGAAAAAAAGAGCATAAAAATATTTGGATTTTAAGACATTCTGAGGACCTAATGGTGTGTTACATTAAATGTGTAGCATTGATGGTGTTTTTTTTAAAAGGTTGATATGGGGAGGCAATTTACAGTAGGACTAAAGTGCTTGGGGAAGGGAAATTTCATCTTTTTTACCACAATCATGGAAGAAGACAGGCAGCCTGAGTAATGAGCCTGACAACCCAAACTGAGAGGACCTCAAGCGCCTCCTGCCCTGCAGTGATCCCTTAAGGCAGAAGGAGGGCATCTGCTGCTGGGGACCATGTGAGCACGGAAGGAGAGAGGGAGGGAACAGGGCCAGGACCAGGCGAGCACCTGGTAGACATGCTGTTTCGGGGAGAAGCAGGTGCCAGCACCAGGGAGCTGCTGGGGAAGGAGCATTTGTAAGCAACATGGCTTTGTGGACAAGAGAGCTGCTTGCCTGCTTGCTTGTGTGCGAATGTGAGAAGCCAAGGTGAGAGGGGGGCACCAGGGAGTGGCAAGGGCTGGCCGGCGTGCAGCCCCTTCCCTTGGTGAATGGCTCCTTCACAGTTGCTGCCCTACTGGAGCTCTGAGCTGAGCAGGGGAGGCTCGTGAGGGCCACACAGGGCAGCAGCAGTGCACACAGGGACCATGGCCATCAACTTTGGGGTGTCCAGCCTCCTCAAACACTTTTGGGGGGGGCCTGAAAGCACCATGGCCGCTAGAAGTCAGCGCCTATGCGTCTGTGTAGATAATACTGAGCTAGAAAGCCCAATGGTCTGAATCTGGCAGCTTCTTATGTTCCTTTACTATAGTCTGTTAACTGGCATGTGAGAAAATGTTGTATTAATTATGAGAATAAATGAGAGCAAGAAAGGACATCTGCCTAGTCGGTTATAAAACTGGAAGAAACAAAAGACCTTGCATCTCCTCCTGTTCCTGCTCTGAAGGCAATTTCTGCCTCAAAGAGACTTTTAAAGCCATGCTATGACTCTACTATTTTCTGATATTCAGGGTTCTACAAAAATGTATCAGACAGAGCAGGTTCTCTGCTGCAAAAATCTTCTTCCCAATAGGTCTGCTGTTTTCCTGATGACTCACACTCTAACATTGTGTTTCCAGATCAGACTGCAAGGGAGTTCATTTATGAACGATCTGCCTTTTGGGGGAGTATTTTAAAAACCATTCCTTCCTTTTTTCTTATGAATTACGGTAACTTGCATCTTGGAAAGTTCCCATCTGTTTGGCAGCCCATCGTAGGACCTCCAGGGGGAGCTGCAGAGCTAACTAAGTGGTGCTTTAGGCATGCACATAATCTGTAGGCAAGAGGATAAACAGAGGAGGTTGCTGAGCTAAAAGGCAAAGCTCAGTGTGAATCCACACTTACTAGGGTTGTGTTTATTCTGTGCTAATTCTCTGCCTGAGCAAGCCAATTTCTGTGCCAAGAAAAGCAGGAGTTTGTGGCCTGCATAAACTATGGAAATAGAACAGGTTTGCATAATTTCTCATAATTTGCACAGATTTATTCTGTTCTGTTTTTGTTTTTTAAATAAAAACTTGACACCCCTTTTTTGTATAATTTATTTTGGTTTTGCTGGTCAAAGGGAATGAGCTATTCAAGGCACAAACCCTTGTCTTGCTGCTCTTAGAGTTCAGCAAGTAATTCCCCACATTTTGAAATGTATTTTTGGTTTGAAAACCAAGGTTTTCAGGTGTCCACTATACAGTCTTCACTATTTTATACTTCTACAGTAACCTTTGCCATCCTGGTGCTCTCCAGATTATTATTTATTAAACTTCTATACCACCCTTCATCCAAGGACCACAGGGCGGTTTACAATATAAAAACACCTGTCATAGTAACAAACAAAAAGTGCCCCTCTGCACCAAACTGAAGAACCTTTCAGACTCTGGACTGGCTCTGCCCACCAGGCTGGCCAGCCGTGTTTTCTGCATGGGAAGGAATGTAGGAAGGCTTCTTGCTTTGAGCTCAGCTGCGTTTTGTGTTTCTAGGGTTGCTCTTTGGGCCCAACTCCATTTTGATCTCGGATCCTGGTCTTGACTCCCAGCTCCCACCATACATTTGAAACACAGCCTTCAGCAGTCATGGTTTTGCCCAAAGAATTTTGGGAGCTGTAGTTTGTTAAGGGTGCTGAGAGTTGTTAGGAGTCCCTCTATTTCTCTCCCAGCACTTCGATTCCCAGAGTGGTTCAACAATCAAAGCCTCTTTCCAGGGAACTGTGATGGTAGCTAGCTTGCTTAAGAGCTGTGAGGCAGACATGTCCCCCCCCCATGCCTCCAAACTACTCCCTGCCTTCAGTATCCACTGCCTGAAATGGCCAGGTCACTCTTCCTAAGGCAGGGGTGTGGACCCCAGACTCCAACTTGCATTAGCTCTGGCTGGCATTGCCAATAGTCAGGGATGATGGGAGTTGTAGTCCAGCAACATCCAGGAGGTCACAGGCTAACCATCCTGGCTCTAGTTCCTGGTGACCCTGGACAATGGCTGCCAGTCAGTCTAGACCAGAGATAGAGAACCTGTGACCCTCAGACGATGTTGTACTTCAGCTCATATCAGCCCCAGCTGGCATGACCCATATTCTCCACCCTCATTGTTCTACCGAGTGTCTTCTGGTGGTTCCCTCACTGTGAGAAGCCAAGTTACAGGGAACCAGGCCTTCTCGGTAGTGGCACCCACCCTGTGGAATGCCCTCCCACTAGATGTCAAAGAGAAAAACAATTACCAGACTTTTAGAAGACATCTGTTGTTGTTTTTTAATTAATATTTATTAAAGTTTCAGAAAGAATAAAATCACATTAATAAACACAAAAATTTTAACAAAAACAGAAAAAAATACACCATACAAAATACAAAGTACAGAATAGAAAAAAGTAAAAAAAGAAAAAAAGGAAAAAAAGAAAAGAAAAAACAGTTAAAAATAATTCTGTCCTTTCATAACCTCTTTTAAATTTACTTATTTCCCGGACTTCCTCATACCTCCCTCTTTTGTATTCCATTTCAGTTTGTAAACCCAGCAGTTTCTTACCCTTCTTTTTAATTCCAATCCTAAATCTTAATATATTATGACATTAGATTTTTACCTGTTTGAACCAATTTTTCCATTTCTCTTAGTCTTTTTGGTCCTAATCCTTAATCTTGATACATTTATAACCTTAAAACCTGTTCAGCTAGAAGCCACTTAATTTCAATCCAACATCAATCTAACATTCATTGATTTTGCAATATTTCTGTAAAAAAATTTAAAGTTCTTCCAATCTTCTTCCACCGACTCTTCTCCCTGGTCACAGATTCTGCCAGTCATTTCCGCCAATTCCATATAGTCCATCATTTTCATCTGCCATTCCTCCAGTGTGGGTAGCTCTTGTGTCTTCCAATACTTTGCGATAAGTATTCTTGCTGCTGTTGTGGCGTACATAAAGAAAGTTATGTCCTTCTTTAACACCAATTGGTCGACTATGCCCAGGAGAAAGGCCTCTGGTTTCTTCAAACAGGTATATTTAAATACCTTTTTTAATTCATTATAAATCATCTCCCAGAAAACCTTAATCCTTGGGCACGTCCACCAAAGGTGAAAGAATGTACCTTCAGTTTCTTTACATTTCCAACATTTATTATCGGGCAAATGGTAAATTTTTGCAAGCTTGACTGGGGTTATGTACCACCTGTATATCATTTTCATAATATTCTCTCTTAGGGCATTACATGCCGTAAACTTCATACCTGTGGTCCATAACTGTCCCCAGTCAGCAAACATAATATTATGTCCAACATCTTGTGCCCATTTAATCATAGCAGATTTCACCGTTTCATCCTGAGTATTCCATTTCAGCAGCAAGTTATACATTCTTGACAAATTCTTAGTTTTGGGTTCTAAAAGTTCTGTTTCTAATTTTGATTTTTCCACCTGGAAGCCAATTTTCTTGTCCAAATTGTATGTCTCCATTATCTGATAATAATGAAGCCAATCTCGCACTTTGTTTTTTAGTTTTTCAAAACTCTGCAGTTTCAATCTATCTCCATCTTGTTCTAAAATTTCCCAATATTTCGGCCATTTGACCTCCATATTGAGCTTTTTCAAGGCTTTCGCTTCCATCAGTGACAGCCACCTTGGGGTTTTATTTTCCAATGAGTCCTTATATCTTATCCAAACATTAAACAAAGCTTTCCTGACAATATGATTTTTAAATGCTTTATGTGCTTTGACCTTATCATACCACAGATATGCATGCCATCCAAATACATTGTTAAAACCTTCTAGATCCAAAATGTCAGTGTTTTCAAGAAGCAGCCATTCTTTCAACCAGCAAAAAGCTGCTGATTCATAATAAAGTTTAAGGTCTGGCAGGGCAAATCCACCTCTTTCCTTTGCATCTGTTAGTATTTTAAATTTTATTCTGGGCTTCTTGCCCTGCCAGACAAATCTAGAAATATCTCTCTGCCACCTCTTGAAACAGTCCATTTTGTCCACAATTTGCAGTGTTTGAAACAAAAACGACATTCTAGGCAATACATTCATTTTTACCGCAGCAATACGGCCCAGCAGTGAAAGCTTCAAATTTGACCAAATTTCTAAATCTTTTTTCACTTCAGCCCAACATTTTTCATAGTTATCTTTAAATAAATTCACATTTTTTGCTGTCATGTTAATCCCCAGGTATTTAACTTTCTTAACCACTGTTAAACCTGTCACATTCTGAAACCTCTCTCTCTCCATTGGTGTTAGATTTTTCTCTAAAACCTTAGTTTTTAACTTGTTCAATTTAAATCCTGCAACCTGACCAAATTCTTGAATCAGTTCTAAAACCCTTTTGGTACTAGATTCTGGCTCCTGTAACGTCAGTACTAAATCATCTGCAAATGCTCTCAATTTGTACTGTTTAGCTCCAACCTGTATACCTTTAACCAGCTGGTCCCTTCTAATCATGTTCAGCAAAACCTCCAGGACCGAAATAAAAAGTAGTGGGGAAATTGGGCAACCTTGTCGTGTCCCTTTTTCTATTTTAAGTTCTTCCGTCACCACATTATTTACAATTATTTTAGCCTTTTGTTCTGAATTAATTGCACTTATACCATTTTCAAAGCCTTGGCCTACCCCCATACCCTGTAGGTTCTTCTTCATAAAGCTCCAAGAAATGTTGTCAAAAGCTTTCTCCGCGTCCACAAATATCGAAACTGCTTTAGTATTTATGTTCACTTCTAGTTTTTCCAAAATATCAATTATATTCCTCAGATTGTCAGACAAGTGTCTTCCTGGGAGAAAGCCCGCTTGATCTTTATGAATCTCTTCCATCAACACTTTTTTAAATCTCTTAGCCAAAATGTCTGCAAAAATTTTGTAATCCACATTGAGTAATGATATGGGGCGGTAGTTCTTAAGCTGTGTCTTTTCAGTCTCTGTTTTCGGTACAAGTGTAATATAAGCTTCTTTCCACGACTCTGGTGCTCTTTTCCCCTCCATTATTTCATTACAGACCTCTTTCAAAGGTTGTACTAGCCATTCTTTCAAGGATCTGTAATATCTAGAAGTCAGTCCATCTGGTCCTGGAGACTTCCCCAATTGCATGTTTTGAATGGCACCTTCTATCTCCTGTTCAGTTATTTTATAGTTCAGCATTAATTTATTTTCTTGAGAGATTTTTTGTAATCCATTTGTTTTCAAAAATTGATCTAGATCAGTTTCTTTCAGTGGCCCTTGTGTGTATAGTTGTTTAAAGTACCTCTGGAAACAATTTCTAATCTCAGCTGGGTTCTGTATATTCCTTCCTTCCACTTCTAAATTCGTAACTGTCAAGGCTGCCTCAAGTCTTAGCTCACAAAAGACCAACGCCTACGTCTTCTTGAATACAAAGGTGTTTATTGCAGTTCATGGTTTGCTTGACATCTTAGGCGCGCAGCCTTACGTCTCTTACGCTAGACCGCCGAAGTCCCGTCTGAGTCAGTCCCTCCTCTGCACCAATTTAAGAGACTTGCGCTGCTCCACCTCTTTCTCTCCTTCCTTTTCCGCAGGGTCTTTCTGCCCCCTGGGGTTTGCCCCTTCTGGATTCCTCTGACGCGGAATCAGACTGCTGCTCCCCCTCCTGCGGGCTTTGGGACCTGGCCCCTCCTCCGGGCTCCCTGCACTTCCGCGCGCCTCTACATTTGAACTAGGCGCGCGCGCCAAACCTCTAACTTTCCTTTTGACAGTTACACTGCTCCCTTCACTGCTCCCCTCCCTTTCCGGGAGGGCTGCTTGCTCTGACCCCCCTCCTCTCTCTGCTGCTGGAGCTCCTTCCTCTGACACACTGGAAACTCCACCCCTTCGCTGCACTTTGGTGGGGAGGCTGGTCCTGACGCCCAGCTGCCACTTTGGGATCCTCCGCTGGCACCCTGCTCCTGACATTTCCCCCCTGGGGCTCCCCTGGCCCTGACCACCGGCGCCCCCTTCTGGGAATCCTCTGATTCGCTGGAAAGACTCATGGAATCCCTTGAGTCATTGTCGTCCTCTTCCTCGCTGGCTTGGAATTCCTCCCCTTCGCTCTCCATCTCCTGCCTACCCTGTGCCTCTCTCTCTGAACCCCTGACAGTAACTGTATTCAATTTTTGTCTTTTTTTCATTTGCCAAGCCAACAGTTTCCCACATTTGTTAGCCGACTCGAATGTCTTTTGTCTCATTTGTTTAATTTTCCATTCTATTTCCTGATTCGTCATTTTCATGTATTGTACTTGGTGTAGCTTTAATTCTCTCAAAATCTCTTGAGATTTTGGATTTGTTCTCAATCTTTTTTCACTTTCCTTTATTTTCTCCAATATCTTATCCTTCTTCTCATTTTGAATTCTCTTCTTTATTGCATTCTGTTGTATCAGAAACCCTCTCATAACCGCTTTACTTGCGTCCCAGATTACTCTTTTTTCCACGTTGGTATTCATATTTATCTCAAAATAGTCTCTCAAGGTTTTTTGGGCCTTCTTTAACACTTCTTCGTCTCTAAATAAGGTGTCATTCATCCTCCATCTGAAGGAGCCAGTTGGTGTTAGTTTCACAGACTTTTAGAAGACATCTGAAGGCAGCCCTGTTTAGGGAAGCTTTCAATGTTTGTTGCATTACTGTATTTTAATATTTTGTTGGAAGCTGCCCAGAGTGGCTGGGGAAGCCCAGCCAGATGGGCGCGGTATAAATAATATGTTGTTGTTGTTGTTGTTGTTGTTGTTGTTGTAAGGGATGGCCATGGCCTCTGGTCAAGTAGGGCTATCCAGTCTGATGGAAACTACTTGGGTGACTGCCTTGATATTCTGTCTGCAGTTGCCGTGGACTGGAAGTGTTCCTTTCCTGTGATGGGCTGTACTTTTGACTTGCCTCCTTCCAGATATTTGATGCTGCTATCCACCATTTTAATTCCCTAGAATGCAAGGAGTGGACACTGTGTTGCAATGCAGTGTTTTTCTGAGGCATTCTAAAGAGTAACAACGTACCCACCAGTCCCACTTTCCAAACGATTGTTATATAAAAATTCATTTATTGAATAATGAGGAAATGTCACTATATGCTTCACATGTTCAGATATCCAAACAGCTAGACCTTCATATAGTACTGAGCCTCTTTGGCTTGCTGATCAGAAGGTTGGCAGTTCAAATCCTTGCAACGGAGTGAGCTCCCGTTGCTCTGTCCCAGCTCCTGTCTTCCGTCATGGTGTTCCGTAGTGCCAGAAGCAGTTTAGTCCTGCTGGCCACATGACCCGGAAAAGCTGTTTGGGGACAAATGCCGTCTTCCTCCGCCTGAAGCTAGATGAGCGTCACACCCCATAGTTGCCTTTGACTGGATTTAACCATCCAAGGGTCCTTTACCTTTTTTTTTACCTTACTGGAAACAAGCAACCTTATATAAGGCTTGCAGTTTCCTGTTTTTCTGGTACAAGCAGCTGTTTTGCCAGAAAGTGTGGTGGGAAGGAGAAGATGGATGAGAGAGTGGATAAATAAGAGAACATTTTCCTTTGTTTGCTTTTTTGGAATGTTTCAGAGGGTTTTCCTGTCACTTTGGCATCAAAATTGGTTGGGAATGCATTAGAAATTTCCACCTAGGAATCAGTGGAAATTGTCAAATCATTATGTGAACGCTTGCCAAACCAACTATTTCCTGTGAACACATTGTGTTCACATAGTGGGAGCTGCATGCACAGCAGAAGTAAGGAAGGGACACTTTATGCAACACATGTCAGGTAGCAAGGAAAGTAATAAATTGTGTCTGTGTTGGTTTTTCTTCCTTCCCAAACACTTTCCCTTTTGTGCTGCGTCTTGCCTGATGGCAATAATTTCTTTATCATTGACTGATCATCGGGTGTTTTTTTCCCAGCAAAACAGCAGGATTCAAATGTATGCAATCAATCAATCAATAAATAAATAAATAAATAAATAAATAAATACAAATAAAGTAGCATTATGAGAGTTGAAAAGGTTGAAGAAAGTTCATGTTTGCTTTTAAAAGTCGTTTGCAAAGAGTTAATGTATGCATCAGTGCCTTCAAGTCTCATGGGTGAGTCAGGTAGTTCTGTGGTTGCAAATGGGGTGGCAGGATAGACAGCATAGGATAGTAGTTGGCCCTGAACCAGGGAGAAAGCTGCTCCAATAACTCAGGTTTTGCATTTTGTGTGAATGCTATTCCCAAGTGACTTAGCCCTTCTCATTTTCACAAGTGAAGCATGAAGAACATCCATCTATGTTCCTTTAATCAAGACACCACTCAAGTGAGGAGTCATTTTCCTCATAACACATTGATAGAAATAGGATCAGAAAAAGGATGTATAAAAAGAATCCATTTTGCTTTTAAGACTAACTAAAATGAATTTACGGCAAGAACAGGAAGCTTTTGAGGGTGATGATCACCTACTTCATCAGATGTTAGCATGGAACTGTGGATGGCAACTCAGAAAAATTAGTTGAAGGAATGTTTATGCTCAATCTTGCAAGAGACAGTTTCTTAAATGATGAAACATACCTTGGAAAGATTCAGCACAGAACACCAGAAACCTTTCTCTTAGCTTTTAGAATGTGAGAAGAAACCATAATTCCTATTTACATTTTAAAACAATCTTTTCCTCCATCCTTCCCTACAATTGATCTTTTATGGGTTGGGTACTTTGGGGTCTCAGACTCTCTGTTCCAAGCATTGGATTTATGTCCATTTATTATTTTCCTCAAACACAGCTCTGTCTACACAGTGCTTACTGCTAATGGGCATAAGGAAAAAGAATGCACATCTGTTAAAATGAGTATTGCTAGAATTAGTCACAGTCTCCCCCATTTCTTTTTTACTTTGTATCTCCAGTATCAAAGGTCAAGGTGAAGATCAGTTTCATGATTCCACCAAATGCCACCACTATGTTCTGAATGACTATATTTAGGGAGCATTTGAGTTGCATCCTAGAAATTCAACACCAAAGGTCTCCGCAGTCATGATATGGAGTTTGGAGGTGCATAAGAAGTAAGAGCAGATGAACTAAGCCAAGGCCTGGAGTATAGCATGCAAGAGAGACACATCATAGTCTAGCCTTCACCAACCTGGTGATCTCTAGATATTATGGGATTTCAAATTCCATCAGCCCTACCCAGTATGACTATGCTGCTTGGGGCTGATGGGAGTTGTAGTCAAATAACAGGTAGGACACCAAGGTTAACGAAAAGGCTGTCCTGGTCTTTTCACCAGGCCTGAGCCAACCAATCATAGCAGCTGGTAATACTATGGACAGTGACATTGTAGAAATTAATATTTCCTGGCTTCATCTCTTCCATTGGCTTCACACTCTGATTAAAACATGGGAGACATCTCTGACTGCCAAACCCGTGGCCAGATTGGTTACTAGCTGTGGCTTCTGATTATTTTAGAGGTCACTTCCTTACTACAAA